GTGAATAGCTGATTCCGAATTTCTAGTGAACCTCAGCAGCAGCAGCGACTGTGTCTCCCACAGAGAGATCTCCATGTCCCCTTATTTTGGAAGCTTTTTCGTCCTCGTTTCATCAATCAGTGACAGCCAAGGAGGATTGTGGATAGAATCGCGTCATGGATTTTTGAGAAAGGATTCTCGCTCCCTGCTTTCCTTCAGTACGCCCGGCTCCGTTTCTTATTATTTCCATGCTTGCTCGAATCTTCCAAAAGTGCCGAGCGCTGAAAAACTATACCTGCTGGCGCTGTCGGAATTCTTGTTGTTGCTGTTGTTGATACTGTCCTGCTGGATATTGCACTTGCTGGTACTGATCTTGTGGGTACTGACCTTGCTGGTGTGGATGGGGATGGGGGTGAGTATGAGGATGTCCTGTCTGGGGCTGCATCGGCTGCGGCTGCTGATATCCTTGTTGCTGGGTGTACGTGATTCGGTCAGGAGGACGTTGTATGATTTGTTGCGGCGACATAGGTCGACCCTGTTCGCTGTAAGGCGGATAGGCAGGTTGATACCATATCATGGTCGTTTCAGTGTGAGTTCTTGTTCCGGGACTCACTGGAGGTCTTCCTCGTATCACATAAGTTCTCTAAAAGGACAGACACAACATGACACCATACTTTCGTACGGTATGAATTTTGGAATGAAGAAAAATTACATTCATGTATCTCTCGTCGACTCCTGCACCTCCGACTGCAAACTCGCCGCAAATAAGCATACAGTGCTTGTAGGAGTAGAACAAGTTCGAATTGCCTCCACAGCCAGACCACGAGCTAAAAGTGAGGTGATTAGCAGAAAACGTAGATCATTAATTATTGGCAAATGGATATAAAACGGGCAGAAGGCACGCCCAGCCGTCCGGGAAAATACTGCAAAATACGAACCACCGCCTCAAGAGTTGTGCAGCTGATGCCGCGTTCCTACCCAGCTACCATCTTTCTAAATTTTCCCAGATCCACTGCTCCTCCCACTTTCCTTTTCCGGTCTATTTCGAGCTGGTAAATCAGGTTCACGT